CTTCACTTTCTTTTCAATTATTCAGAGATCTACTGAATCAACTTCCTGCTAAGGATGTCAAAAAAAACCCCTCTGTTTATGCAGGCATCTCATCCATTTGCAGAACGTTTAACTTTGTAACTTACTTCTATTTCATATTCTTAAGCTTTATATATTAAACAGAATTTTAAAAATACTTTTTGAGTTACTTTGAGCCACATCCACCATGGAAAAGAATATATGCAAGTGCTGCCACACAGTCAGTAAGCATTGCTGTGTGCTGCACCTCTAAGTGCAGTGCTATTTGGGTCTACAGTGCTATTATTGACAATGACATATTCCCTGTGGAAGTTTGCTTTTGAGACTGCATCCACTCAGGCACTGACTGAGGGAGAGAAATTCTAAATACATGGAATTTCAGAACAAGCCAACAACTAACATAAGCCGTAAAAAGCTCAAATATTTCCAAAGGAAAGGCTACGAACTTCCCTTCTGTTATTCTCTGTTGTGGAGAGTGGCTGCAGAAAAGCAAAGTAACTTTAAAAATAAATAAATAAATATTATTTCTAAAGACCTGAGAGTAACATGGGAAAGATCACACAAATTTTAGGAAATCACCACAGCGAGCTTATCTTGACTTACAGTAGTAGCTTCTGGCTTTCTAGCCTGTCTTAATTCTCCTTTGACTGTACAGGCTAAACTGGGAGTCATGTAATATTCCCATTCTCTGCTTCTGCAAGAGGAGTAACATTTCCTATCTTATAGTACATTTCTGCTACATTGGATAACCAATTTGCACCTTCTCAAGCAACTGATATCTATAGTGGAAAACAGTACTGACAGAGAAAGTAAGAGGGACAATGCTCAAAGGAAGCCACCTTAGCGATGCTCAGAACGTGCACCAAAAATGCAGACTTCACTTGTATACTTCTGGTACCACTGTCCTTTCATTTTGGACAGAAGACCATGTCCCTGTAAGACAAATTGACTAAACACTGCTTTCCAGCAACTTCCTACCGACTCAGCACTGCTTTCTGACATATTTATTGACTCGTCTTCCCATTTGGTGTTCTTGTGCTGTAAACGTAAAATGATTAAAACTAATCTTCCACAAGATACACACCAAAGCATAGATTACAAACATTTCCTACTGCCTTTTTTTTTTGTCTTAAATCTGAACCACTAAGATTGTCAATACAAGGAATTAGCACAACAACAGTTAATACACTGCAGTCTTAAACAACTTACTAGGACATTTTCAGTAGCTCATTGGTTTCAGGTTTCCACACTCCTCTCACCAGCTGCTCAAAGTTGGACATCAGACCACCACCAGCTCCTGAAATCACAGAGATTTACAATAAGCCCGTACTGACTGCTAGCACTACTGCACAACCCATTACTGCTCCCAGCAAAACCCATTTCACTAGGTGCCAATGTGGTACCAAAAGCTCAGACTTAAAGACACCAATCCAATCTTGTACATGTGCATAACTTGAGCAACCAACATGGAACCTCAGAGGTTTAGCTACTTAGCAAGAACCTCAGGTTCACCTTTATGTGATAGCATCTGCACTGATTCACTCATCACCACAAACAAATGGCTGAATTGCCAAAATAAATCTCCAGAGAAGCTTATATTATTCCCTTCTTCATGTTGTCATATAAGTACAGAGTGTCTCTATAAAGTATGAGGATCCTCTGTGAGAAAAAGTGGATATGTATTTTTACATAAAAAGAAGGCAAGACATAAGGAGGTGTTAAGACACTCTGGCCAGTAAGACTAATTGGCATCATAACCTGGGAAAAGAATACCTTAGACAATCACCGTAACATGTGTTGTCTCCCAAAGCAGAACAGAATCAAGCAAGTAGAAACAAGAGCTGCACTCATAGTTCCTGAAGTGGTTCTAATGTTGTGACTACAAACACAGCTGCTAGGATGGTAGCTTCGAGAGTCATACTCCAAGCAGCAGGCAGGCAAGAAGGTTCATTCCTGTGTTTAAAAATCAGCTAATGGTTGCAACCCAAAAAGCTAAGAAAAGTTCTCTTCTTCAGCCACATACAAGGAAAACAGCTCTGAGGAAACATGCTGTTGGAAAGTTTAGTAATAACACTGAAGCTACACAGAAGATCTATTTCTTTACTGCCATCAACTGCCCATCCTACAAGTCCTTGCAAGATCTTCTGAAGGGATAAGATGAACTTCCCACAAAGTCATTTAATGTCACCCTTAATCCAGGCAGAAAACTGCTGCACAGGCCTTTTTCCCCTTCAGGAGTCACAGACTGTATTAGGACTACCATAAACGGCACAGCAAGGAATGGTGCTACAGTTATGCTCAAGGGCTAGCCATTCAAATACCACTCCAAGACATCACAACCCATCAGAACAACATGTTAGGCATGTTACCTCTGGCCCAGCCCACGGCTACCATCACAAGCCAGGCATCTTTGAAGTGACTGTCTGCATGTGCAATGCCAGCCGTTATCTTCCAAGTCCTAGTCACTTCTTTCATTCCTGCAACCAGAAGCCGAAGAGGCAGAAAGGCAAAGCACCGGCAGAATATGTCTTGTGGGCAGTAAAACACAAAATACCTGAAAATCATGAGAAAACCCATCAGCAGCATTCGAAAGTTTTTGCTACGTAATTCACTTTCTAATAACCTTTATTTCTGGAATATGACTAGCAATGCATGATATACTACTGACAACTCACAGTGTGGTAGATATATTGGAACCATTTGACATGCTTTTGAGTGTGCTTAAGCTCTTGCACCTAAATCATCAAACTTTATTTGAAATTGTTCTTACTGCCTCATTGTCCCAGAGAAGAATCCACTGAAGTACATGAGAAACAGCTTTAAATTTCACTAACTGTACTACAGCTTACATATCATGTTTTTATAATTCAAATTATTAAATTAATGTCTGACTGACTTTGTATGGTTTGCGGTTTTGTGAATTACTTTTTGTTTGTTTGGGTTTTTTTTGTTTTGGGTTTTTTTTTATGGCTTTATAACAGGGTGGTAAATTACATGCTGACACCATGCTTTAGTACTAATAGGTACATGCAATTATGTAACTTCAGCAAGAATGCCTCCACTAGTTAGTGTCATGCCAGATGAAATGCACAGCTATTTTCAAATACATTTCACATCTCAGTAACCATGAACTCTAGCTTTTCCACCTTGCCAATTACAAGCACATTTCTTTTTTCAGTGTTGAAAGAAAAGCACTCAAAATGTAACTATAACTTTTATTGACTTGCTTTTAAAAGAAAGATGTCTAACAATGAAATCCTAAACTGACAGTAAATTTTAAAAGATCACATTATGTGGTGTTATATTTTCTGAATCATAAACAAAATCCAGTTCTTACAGAGACATTCAAGGTGTCAAAAAAAAAATCTAGATTAAGTATCTAGATTATTTCAGCACAGGAATAAAAGAGTAACAATTAAACAAAAGCAGAGAAAGCCTTTAAAAGATGAGAAGGTTACTTTTTCATTTTCTAAAGAAAAGATACTTGCCTGTTGGTTTAGGCTTCTAAGCCCAATCCTGTCTACCAAGAATTTCTAAGCTGTATCCTTCACCTGTTTATTGAGGCTACAAGGCAGGGAGGCACCTCTCGTATCTAGTTTACTTGATTAGAACTACTAGCAGACAGCACAACTAGGAAGAGTCATGCTTCATGGTTAGAGATTAGAAAGCAGGACAGCACTCGTTGCGGTTATTTCTGGTTTTGTTCCATGCCCCCAAAATGCTTATCCTTTACAGCAGAATGCCAGGAAGCTTCCTCCACAGAAAGGCAAAGTTTAGCTGAAGTCCTGTCCTAGTTACATATTTGCTTTTGCTGCAGCAGATATAGTACCCTGCCACTGCAAACTTCTAAAGCTTCATTTCTTCAAGACCTCCAAGAATGGAGCATGCAATAGCCTATTTCTCACATAGAAGAAAGTTACTGGAATTTACATTAATAGCTAAGTACTGGTGTAGTGTTCAGTTTCAGCTCTACTTATATTCCTTCCGTCTTCTCCTATTGTAAATTCCACTGCCTTTGTATGCAACCAAGCTTGAGTCGCGACGAATTCAAAGATGTGTACAGAGCACGTATTTTACCAGCTACTGCAGACAGCCACTTAAGCCATGTCGTCAAGTGACAACACTAACCAGAACTAATTTACAATTGCAGAATGTGGGTTTAGGACACCGAGGAACAGGTAACTGGATTGGACCTTGCATTGCTACCCCACCACAGCATTTCTGCCTGTAATTTCTGCCAGTAACACGTGCTGACAGTAGATGTCGCCGTCCTACAGACTATCTCGGAGCACTCCTCCCGCGCAGAACAACCCCTTTTGTTTCCCAGTTCCAGGTATGGCTTGGGGGATTTCGTTTCACGTGATTGAGAGAGAAAATTAAAGCCATTATACTCACGAAGAGAGAACTCTGTAAAACTAGAGGCTTAAAAAGTTTCATAACATTCACAGTTCCTCATTAAAACATCATTTTATTTGTGCACAACAAATCACATTTGACCACATTAAGTTCACCAGAAATCATGCTCTGCTTACAGGCGCTCCTAACTCGTGTGATTTCTGAAAACAAGTAGTCGTGTTGCCCACATCAGACTAACATGAACCATAAGCAGATTCTGTAAGCTTTGTTAGTACTGCACTATTTATTGCACATCATTCATTTCACTGAGTTGCCTAAATGAAATCTACCATCATCTTCCATTGCAACACGCTGATCAAAAGACTAATATATAGATACACACAGGTAGATAGAAACGGTTACTTTCATTTTAATGAATTTGCAAATATAAAATCTAAGGGGCTACAAGGAAGAAATACTAAAAGATTTCAAGCAGATAAACACTTTTCTAAGATAGAAATTGAAATTTTTAAATTCATGAACCCACTGGTCCTGTCAAATTTTGTGAAGTTTGAGGGTGTTTTCAAAGATCACTTTCTGTAACACACAAACTCCACCAGAAGGCCATGTTTATATGAAAATAACTCCAGTGCTTTTTTTTTAATTCCAAAACAGGCCAACACATACCTGACTTCCCATTCAGCTCTCTACTGTCTCCCGCTACAACACTGATCCGTTTGGGAAAGGGCAAAATATAGAAAAAAAATTATGTCAGGAAACAGAAGTTAGAGGAGATGAAAGAAGATCTGTGTCCTAGATCCCCAATCACAGAAAAGTTCAGAATTTTTACATCAGTCAGGTTCTGGTCTTCAAAAGCTACTGCTGAAAAATTCAACTACATTTATAACTTCTCTCTATCCAGAAAAGCAGTAACTCAAGTCCACTTTATTTCAAAATAATATTTTCAGCTGCTTGACCAGGAATAGTCTAGTCTAGTGACTGAGCATTTCATTACACAAGAACTGCTCTTTTACGAGCATTTTACTTCTACAGGAAAGGATCATAACAGCTATTTTGCTGCAGTGACTTTCTGGATGAAGAGACAGCATCCAAATCCTTAATATTTTTAAGTTAAGCTTCTGATTTACATGGAAACTTCATGGTATCACAGTTTACAGAAAAAAAACACAGCTTCCTCAGAACCAATACTACAGATCTAACTCAATTGTGGCTGCTTACCAGACTGAAGATGCCAGTAGAATATTTGTGCCCTTTGCCAGAAATGCTATGGGAGGTTCTGCCAGCATCAATGAAGACAAAACTGAACCACCAAAGCAATAAAGCATAGCACTAAACCAGCAGGCAATTGGACTTCGGACTGACACTTCTACAGCTCCTGAAACAAAGAGAAAAGATGCATAAATAGAAATAAACATCTGAGAATCACATCATGATTTATAAGTCAATAATTTTCAAGTCATGCAGTCCCACGTTGTTCCTTTATGTAATGAAAAATACTGCAAAAATCTGTAGGCTTTCACAGGAAAAGTCTTCAGAAATACAAACTTCCGAGTACCCTCACTTAAGCATATGCATCTAAATACAAGTGAAAGACTGACACTGTGTTCTCTGAACATCTTCTGTGGGTTGGTTTAGTGTAACTGTTTGGCTACCAAGAAGAAGAAGCTTTCAGAGCATGGCTGAGAAGTGTCACTGTTAATAATGTGGCATAAATATACAGCTGCTTACAAATTTGTATTAAAAATACACAACTGGCTTTGCTGAACTAGACAGGATTGGTATTGGTAACTTCTGGGGAGTTATTGTACAAATTCCATTTCTGCTTCTGAGTGTTCATGAATTCAAGGTCACCCTTTTTCCTCATAATGCCCTGCTAACTGTGTTTGCTGACCAAAATGAAAGCAGTATCCAAAACAATTATTAAATAGTTTCACCTTCAATCCTGAACGGAGAAAAAAGGTTACTTGAAGCCATAATAATAAACGTAACTTTCCCTTATTATTAAAAGGTTCACAGTTCAGTTTATGTTGTTATCTTTAAAATGAATTATCCCTTTTAAATGGCAACTGAAATATGCCAAGAGTGTATTCAATATCAAAAAATTACGCTGGAAGTAATGGAAAGCCTTAACCAGATTCAGGGGAAACAACACTTTATCAAAGCCAGAAATATCCTCAAGTAGTTGTTTTGACTGTTTGCTTCGACTTCAAAAGTCGAGCGTTGCCAAAGCTTCCCCTTTACACAGATGCAGAGGTGTTTGCCTGAACTTGTTTCATTTTCCATAGTCCAAAGGCTGAAGTTCACAAATGCAAAGATGAAACTTACTGTTTGCCCCAAAATGAAATCTGCCATGTTCAGAATTCAGAGGAGAAGCTTTTGGTGTTTCAGGTGCTTGCGTGGCAAGAGAAGCTTTTTACTTGAGAAGCTCAAATGTATCAAGGAGAATACAGCACTCTCAACATAATTCACTTCATATAACCGTATTAACAAGATTGTTCCAGTTTTAGTTCTGGTACAGCAATCACATATTCCAGCACTTTCTAAACTCCCATGTCACAGCCTATTTATAAAAATGAGCACTCCTTAGTATTACAGAATGTCTGAACATAAAATAATATTTTAAAAGTTTTAACTATTGCATAATTTATTTTCCATACTGCAATAGCTTGTGTTCCAAGTCAGTTATTCTCAACTTTGTTACTGTGTTATTACCACTTCTCCAACATAGCTATCAATTAATGTTCATGTGCATAACGTTCACAGTAGAAAAATCTAAAACATGCTAATGTTACTTAACGGCAAAAGGGACAATATAATGTGAGCCATTACATCCAGATCCCATATAACAACGTGAACCTATTTCTACCAATGTATTTAGAAAGGGTAAGACACTTGCAGCATATTAATGATTTGTGCTTATTACACTGAAGTTTCCTCACTAAAAACGAAGTATCTAAAAACGCTGACAGCCACTGCATTCAGAAAAAAATGCAAAATTATATGTGGGAGACACTCACTGGTCCAGAAGAATTACAGTAGCTTCCTTCCAACATACAATTATTATCTTGTTTTGATTGGAAAGCCTCTCCCATCCTGCACCTGGGAAGGAATAAGCCCATGCACCAGTACAAGCCAGGGGCTGACCTCCTGGAGAGCAGCTCTGTGGAGAGGGACCTGGGTGTCCTGGTGGACGACAGGTTGACCATGAGCCAGCAGCATTCCCTGGCTGCCAAGAAGGCCAATGGGATCCTGTGGTGCATTAGGAGGAGTGTGGCCTGCAGGTCGAGGGAGGTTCTCCTCCCCTTCTACTCTGCCCTTGTGAGGCCACACCTGGAGTGCTGCGCCCAGTTCTGGGCTCCCCACTTCAAGAAAGATGAGGAGCTACTGGAGAGAGTCCAGCAGAGGGCTACGAGGATGATGAGGGGACTGAAGCATCTCTCCTACGAGGAAAGGCTGAAGGAGCTGGGCTTGTTCAGCCTGAAGAAGAGAAGGCTGAGAGGCAATCTAATAAATATCTTAAGGGTGGGTGTCAAGACGATGAGGCCAGACTCTTTTGAGTGGTGCCCAGCGACAGGACAAGGGACAACAGGAACAAACTGAGGCATAGGAAGTTCCATCTGAACATGAGGAAGAACTTCTTTACTCTGAGAATGACTGTCCTGGGTTTGGCCAGGACAGGGTTAATTTTCACCGGACTCCAGGAAGGGGCACAGCTGGGTGGGCTGACCCAAGCCCAACCTGGCCAAACAGAGCCGGGTATTCCATACCATGTGCCATCATGCTGGGTTCTGGTGGGGGGAGCGGGGCGGAGGGAACTCACTCGCGGCTTGGGAGCGTGCTGCCACAGCGGTCGTGGAGGGCAGCTCTCTGGGTTGTGCGGTTCGTGTTGTGTTTTCTCCTTATCTGTATCGTTGTTGTTCCTGTTTTCCCTCTGTTTGCTGTTCTGTTAAACTGCCCTTATCCCGACCCACCGGTTTCTGCCTGTTTCTTTCCATTCTCCTCCACACCCCGGCGGGGGGAGGGGCGGCCGCGTGGTGCTTTTGCTGCCGGCCACAGCCGAACCAGAACAATGACACAGCACTGGAACAGGCTGCCCAGGGAAGCTGTGGAGTCTCCTTCTCTGCAGATATTCAAGACCCGCCTGGACGAGGTCCTGTGCAGCCTGCTCTGGGTGACCTTGCTTTGACAGAGGAGTTGGGACTAGATGATCCACAGCGGTCCCTTCCAACCCCTGCCATTCTGTGATTCTGTGATTACAAGTACTACTATATACCTACTTTAGCATTAAAGGACTGAATTCCTTTTCTTGCAACAAAAGAATACCCTACCCCCATGTTTGGCACTAGTTTCTTTGTTGACTACCTCCACTAAATGCTGCTGTGGCACTGGAACACAAAGTGACCATACTACCCCAGACTTTACAGGACAATGAGAAAACCCAGCTGATAGAGGTAACCAGTAAAAGTCACAACTCACAAGGGAACACGTGCTGGAACTGGGGAGTACTGCTAACAGATCAGCTGTTGCGTTATGCACCAACTTTAGCTCCTGGACAGATGTAATACAGGATGTGATCTGCACAGTAATCTGATCTTGGAGTGAGACCCGTAACCAGATCATGACAGGAGGTTCCACATCCAAGAACTGTCAGCCTCCAGACCAGATTTAAAAAAAAAAAAAAAGTATCTTACACTTCAGACATCCATCATCAGATGAGTGTGCACCAACCTCTCTTTCATATAGCACTAGGCTTCTCACCTTGCATTAGCAGAGAAGTAATCATCTTAACAACTTACTGGTGGCCCCCATCAGAATATCTAACTACTTCCTCCCTCCCCACAAAATACAGCATGGCTGAGAGCTAGCTAACTGAAACTCAGCTGCTTCCTTACTTTACCAAGTGTTTGGTCAAAATAATAACATAACAAAAGGAAACTGTTCCAGGTGCTATGTCTTTGAATTTAAAACACTGTATTTTATTTTTCATGCACATGGATACCGACTACAACTAATGAAATGCAGCTAGTAATGACGAGTTTTATGGAAAAAATGGAAGGTTTGCATGTATCAGGTTGGAACAGTTTTAAATTGATTTCTGTTGTACATTGTTTCTAGTTCAACTTGCCTTCTCTCCTACATATTTTGTGAAAATATTTTCATGATTTTTCACTTCCTGTACTACAGGATAGATAAAACTCCCACTTTTAAATATAAAAAAGTCAATGAAATGCTGGAGTTGTTTTAAAATCAGTTGGCTATCTATTCTCTTTTCGAATCCATTCCCCTGCTTTTCAGCAATCACCATTTCTGCGCTCTTTCTTTCCCCCACAGCTAACAACAAGTGGTTTCCAGTTCTGAGGACACATATAGGAATCACTATTATTACCAGATAGCCATCGATAAGCCAGCTCCACAACAAAGCATATAAATTTCTTCATTAAGCTACTAAGTGTAAAAGCACAAGAGATTGGTAACTCTACCGGACTTTCAGAATTTTTCTGCTGGTCAGCATTAGAATTTTCTTGACTCAAACACCAGTATTTAACAAAATATACTGCTTTCTTACAAGTAATACATCCAGCATAGAAGACAATGAGGCAAAAACTGCTGATACTGATTTAAAGCATATTTTTGCTTTGCTACCTAAATTGTAAATGGGATGTAACCTTTCAGAAAAAAAACCTCAATTTTAACTGGGTCACATGTTTTCAAACAAGTGGTCGTTTATATTTGTCCTCTGATGCATCCTGTAAAACTAATGAGGCATCATGCAACCATGCAGAATATGATCTGCCAAAAGGCCACTAGTCCTACAAATGGTATTTTTTAGAAAGTAAAGGTAAGGTTTCCAAACACAAGGACTGTTGTTGAATACAGTTTTAAACCTTGTTTCTACACAATAGTAATAAAAAAACCATGCCAGCAAACTATTTCTGTCAGTATAAGGTCTGCTTTAACCTTACCAATATGTTCCAAATGGGCAATCAGAAATACACAACCTCTAAAGAGCAAACCAGAAAGACTTATAGAAGTACTTGTAGAAGTTTTTCTAGCACCTGTATTTGACTATATATATAACATATGTGGAAAGCAACACACTAGTTGTCATTGTTGTAGCTCATCAGCACTCACAAGAGATCAAGAAAATCCAGTTAGAAGGACTGCAAAGTCCCAGTCAGTGTGCACCCATCCATGATGCAAATATCCACACCAAATCTGATTTTAAGCAGTGCAAGGTGGTAGTATTTTCACGAGACAGTAATCTGGGATAAAACAATCATGTCTCTGACTTGACCACACACTTACTATATCATCAGCCAACTGAGGTTACGCAGTTTATTTCCCTGTGATATATAGCTACTGTTGAAGTTTC